TCTGATGCGAGGCATATACTGAGACTGAGAGACACCTTAAGTTAACCAACTTTCAATGGTGTTGCTGCTTTCAAAGCAGATTATGGCTGTCCAGTTGGTAATCCGGAGACTTTTCGGGATTCTATACGAAAAAAAATCGTTGGTTTAGGAGGATGTCTCAAATAAAAGAAATGAAATTAACAAACTAAAAAAAAAAAAAACAACTAAATTACTTAACACGGGTTATCAGTAATGCAACAGTTTTCTTCAATTCTTAATGCTGGAAAAACTTTGTTGCAACATGTTAACTCGAATCGAAGCAGAACGTTTAGCTTCCATTAAAAGTTATCAGTTAAAACTGAGAGCAGAAATAATGTAGGTGAACCTTGACGACGCAAATAGAGTTATTCAAAATAATTTTCTAACAAGTTTTCAAACAACTTCAAGATGTAACTAAAATACTCGAATTTAAGCATAACGCTCTCCTCGGCGTTATGTTTCATACTATGCGGCTCATTGAGCCGCACGGGTTCTCTAGTTTTATTTGAAATCTTGTTAGTCACTATTGCAAATCCTTTCTTTTAGCAAATCAATAATTCATGTTTCGAATGGTTTCAAAGATCAGCAAATTTAATTTTGTTAACTTATTATTATAAATTTATTAATGCTCTGTGGGGTTATTTTTCACAGACGAGTTCGAGTGGAATAAGGAAGATTTGCCATTAGTACAGCAGATTAAGGTAGTAGATATTACTTTATATGTTAAATATATGAAAGGATAGTGTAAATCTGATTTTATTATTTTTGATTACTAGAAGAGTTGATTTGATTGATTTTAATAAATACTAATGCTGACATAACATGTGTTTTTGATTTTACGAAAAACTGTGATCCAAGGCAAAAGTAAAATTGTGAATTGTGAGATAATCAGCCCCAAAATCTTCTATATTTATATCTAATTGGTGTCTTGAAAAGGGTATAAGGTGATAGCGTGAGAATTTCCAAGTATAAACATGTTTTTAGTAAAGGATATACTCCGAATTGGACAGGGGAGCTATTTACAATAGCAGAAGTTAAGATACAAAGCCTGTGACTTATATTTTGAAAGATGAAAATGGCAATATAATCAGGGGAGGATTCTATACAGAGGAGTTGTTAATAGTCCAGGACCTGACTAGGGTTCTGTGTGCATGTCGTGTATAGAGAATTTTGCTTTTGCATTTCAATATAGGTGTCTTAGGAAGTGTTTTCCACTCGGGTGTCAAGTTCGTACCTGGTACGTTTTCGAGCTATGACGTCATCAAGATGGCGGCTCGGCAATTTTTAAATGCGTATATTTCGCAAACCGTTTAACTGATCGGGATGATTCTTTTTTTGTTTGAAAGAGACTTTTACAAACTATCTTTTTTGTATTTACACATTTGTTGTAAACTTAATATTCACCGCACAATATTGAAAAACGTCGTTTTTATTGTTATTATATTTATTGTTTTGCTTATAACTTCTTAACCGCTGATAAAATCAAATACCACCCGTTGCAAAAGTTGTAGATAATTCTATACCCTTTCCAACGATACCAAACAATATGTGATTAGACCTAAAAATATAGCAAAGAGATTGAATAAACTGTAAAAAAAACACTGAAAGTGGTGTACGGTCCGGGAAAGATTAGTCCTGGACATGACTAGGGTTCTGTGTGCATGTCGTGTATAAAGAATTTTGCTTTTGCATTTCAATATAGGTGTCTTAGTAAGTGTTTTCCACTCGGGTGTCAAGTCCGCACCTGTTTCGTTTTCCAGCTATGACGTCATCAAAATGGCGGCTAGGGAAATTTTTAAATGCATATATTTCGCATACCGTGTAACGGATCGGGGTGATTCTTTTTTTGTTTGAAAGATAATTTTACAGAAAATGTTTTTCGTATTTACACTTTTGTTGTCAACTTAATATTTATCTCACAATATTAAAAAACGTGGTTTTTAATATCATTGTTTTTGAAATTTTCTTCATAACTTGTTAAACGCTTATAGAATGAAATAACTACCCGTTACAAAAGTTGTAGATAATTTTATGCCCTTTCCAACGATACCAAACAATTAATGTTTTAAACTAAAATTAAAGCCAAGAGATTAAATAAACCGTTAACAAACACTTAACATGGTAGATAGTCCGGAAAATATTGCGGCTGGAACAATCCTTTAAATTCGTATATTTCGCATACTGGTTAACGAACCGGGATACTGGTTTGTTTGTAAGATATTTTTTAAGCCTATCTTTTTTGTATTTACACCTTTGTTGTTAACCTACTATTTGTCAAAAAGTTATAAGCAAACGTAAAATAAAAATAACAATTAAATGTACATTTATTAATATTGTGGGATAAATAGTAGGTTAACAACAAAAGTGTAAATACAAAAAAGATAGGCTTAAAAAATATCTTACAAACAAAAAAAGAATCATCCCAGTTCGTAAAACGGTATGTGAAATATACGCATTTGAAAAATTATTCCAGCCGCAATATTTTCCGGACTATCTACCATGTTGAGTGTTTGTTAACGGTTTATTTAATCTCTTGGCTTTAATTTTAGTTTGAAATATTAATTGTTTGGTATCATTGGAAAGGGCATAAAGTTATCTACAACTTATGTAACGGGTAGTTATTTCATTCTATAAGCGTTTAACAAGCTATAAAGAAAAATTCAAAAACAATGATAATAAAAACCACGTTTTTTAATATTGTGAGATAAATATTAAGTTGACAACAAAAGTGTAAATACGAAAAACATTTTCTGTAAAATTATCTTTCAAACAAAAAAAGAATCACCCCGATCCGTTACACGGTTTGCGAAATATACGCATTTAAAAATTTCCCTAGCCGCCATTTTGATGACGTCATAGCTGGAAAACGAAACAGGTGCGGACTTGACACCCGAGTGGAAAACACTTCCTAAGACACCTATATTGAAATGCAAAAGCAAAATTCTCTATACACGACATGCACACAGAACCCTAGTCATGTCCAGGACTAATCTTTCCCGGACCGTACACCACTTTCAGTGTTTTTTTACAGTTTATTCAATCTCTTTGCTATATTTTTAGGTCTAATCACATATTGTTTGGTATCGTTGGAAAGGGTATAGAATTATCTACAACTTTTGCAACGGGTGGTATTTGATTTTATCAGCGGTTAAGAAGTTATAAGCAAAACAATAAATATAATAACAATAAAAACGACGTTTTTCAATATTGTGCGGTGAATATTAAGTTTACAACAAATGTGTAAATACAAAAAAGATAGTTTGTAAAAGTCTCTTTCAAACAAAAAAAGAATCATCCCGATCCGTTAAACGGTTTGCGAAATATACGCATTTAAAAATTGCCGAGCCGCCATCTTGATGACGTCATAGCTCGAAAACGTACCAGGTACGAACTTGACACCCGAGTGGAAAACACTTCCTAAGACACCTATATTGAAATGCAAAAGCAAAATTCTCTATACACGACATGCACACAGAACCCTAGTCAGGTCCTGGACTATAAAGACCAAGTATAAAGACATGTATTTGGTAGAGAAGGTAATTAGGAGAAAGGGTGATTTATTGTATGTCAAATGGCTTGGGTTCCCAAGTAGCCAGAATTCATGGATTTCCACAAAAGATACCATTTCACAGCCCCACTACTAGAGGCAAGAAGCAAGAAGCACACCCGCGACCGGGAGCACGACCATGAGTCGGGAGCGCGACCGGGAGCACGCCATGAGCCGGGAGCGCGCCCGAGTTCGCGTGCAAACCTCGCTCGATTTTGAGAATATACATGTGAATGGATGTGGATTTGAAATAGTAATACAGTTTTACAATGGTATTGAAAATTTATATAGGCTTGTATAGGCAAAGATCAGGGTCTTTAAAAAGTGGCCAAAAATAATCCCAATAAGAATAACATGGGAAAAACGTGCCTAAAGTGGCGTCTCTTTGCTAGTTCACCACTAGTTTACATTTACACCTGTAATGGTCAATAAATGTAAATAGCTTTTTTAGCTTGATGTCGAATATATTTATAGGTAATAAGTATGAAACAAGCTTTGATAATTTTATAGGGATATGTGAGCAAAGATCATGATTTTTGGATTTGGTGGCCAAAAAATGATCACCATGTTATTCTTATGGGAAAAAACGCCTTAAGTGGGGTCATACCATCATATTGTCACTACTTATGTAAAAGTATAGGACCCTTAAAAACGTTTAAATTTTATCAAAATGCAATGTTGTTTCAACTTGTTTTCATCGCCATTTATATTGACCAAACATTATCAGTGAAAACCGTTGGAAAACTCCTAAGAAACCAGGAAGTATTTCGATATAGTAAATCCTGGTCGAATGGTGGAGGAAAGGTTAAAAATCCACTTTTGGTCATAATGTTAGTTGCTCTGAAGACAATATGTTTATCAAAGAAAACAACAGATTGTCACGGAAAATGCAAATAGCTGCCAACAATGCAACAATACACTACGATTGATTACATCAATCGACAACAAATCGCTTTTTCACAAGCAAGACACTCGTATTGAAAACATCTGGTTATGCTGCAATATGGCGAAAACAAATTGTGTTATTGTTGTTCACAGATCAAAACGCATGGGAAATCTTTATGTTAACTGTGGACCAAAATTTACAGATAAAGGGTTATTGTTTTTTTTTTTATAAAGGGTTTTGTAAGGAATACATTTACCAAAACAAAATCAAAATTACTTGTAAATCAAATTAAACATTTTTTTCTTATGATATTTTTGTTAAATTCCATCAATTTCACAGGAATTTAGGTATATATAATTTGTATTTGGACTTTTTATTTTAATCTTGAAAACAAAGGTTTTGGGTTGCACTTAAGGTCGATAGTATGTTTGGTATGTTTATTTTTTAGGTATTAGTTTTATTTAGATTAACATTAGTTTAAAGAAAGTTGAGTAAACTAAATATGAACAGAAAGAAGTGTAAATTGCAGAATATAAATACTCGACTTACCCACCAATGATATTTTCCACCGGATTTTTTCTGAAACAATTACGGACTTATGTTATAATTATGTTTAGTTTATTTTATTTTTATTTTGTAAACAACTGTTACTATAATTGAGTAACCAATAATATATTACATGTAAATTTTTTATTAGATAAATGTAAATATTATAATGATTTTGGTTGATATAATATGTAATACCCCCATCGCAGCAAACCTCCAGACTAAGTGAATTTCCTTTTGCTTGATTTGATTTTCAATTAAAATTAAATCTATTTCAATAACATTAGTTTTAATAAGTACATAGGTTTGCTGCTACAGGGAGGGTAATAAAGTGTGTTTTTTAATCAAATATTAGTAGCTTAGTATAATATAATTATATTTGCCAAGTTTGATCAAAATATATCCATAAACAAGCAAACTGCAAAAGTTTACTTATTCTCTATAAGATGAACATGGGAATTATTGATTACAATTTTTTGTTTTTTGTTCGTAACTAATAACCGTACAAAAACACTTTAATGTACTAAAATACCTGAGATGTGCTATGCCTCTTCACTTTATACATTTCCTGGGTCAATACTAATATTATTAGTCTTTTATATTTTACCAGTCAAATCCCTATGAAGATGACACAATTAAATATAACGAAAAATAAAAATTGTAAATGTATAAAAAATCTTAACACATCTAAATCAGGAGAATACTTTCTTTTGTTAAAGTGTGTTTTATTGAATGAATTTCACAGCAATCAACCAAAAAGTCAAGCAAGAGTAAAGTTCATAACAACTGTTTGATATTGCATATCGGTTTTACTGAATATTGTGTAGGTTTATATTTTTGTGAAGAAGATTAATCATACATTGTATGAATTGCACCTAGAAGAAAATATGCCGAGTCAATTAACTATGAATAGGTGTGTTGACTAAAGAATGCAGCGATTTTACTTACATCCCAGTAGTTTTGCATGAATCTTTTCTGAAAAAGAGAATAAAACATATCTATAGTATTTTTTGTATTAATGTATCGTGTATCAAAGCAACTCAAAATATATTAGTTATACATGTTTACTTGAATAAATTTTAGTATAAGCTTCAACTTTGTCGTAACAAAAGTATTTAATGTATTACAACTTGTTACTGTTGTATTAGCCTATATATTACTTATTTAAGATGTGTTTTTATTTCACTAGTATACAATCATAAATTCAAACCACCATTAGAATTACGAAATTATATTTTTTATGAGAAACATAAAAAAATAAAAATGACGATTGGGTCCTATAAGATATAATATATTATCCCCCAATTCTTAGGACTCATTTACGTTCTTACACTTTTTAAAATTGAGATGGATATTATATCCGGGTTAGCACAAGCTTAGAGTTTGACTACCTCAAAAGTGTCATTGGATTATAAGGTTGCAGTGTCCAAATCCAGACAGTGTTATTATGCATAATTCAGTTTTGCCAACAGCTTCATACTGATTAAATAAGTTAAAGCTATTGTATGGTTTAACTTTGAGTATATGTTGTTTGTTCGTTAACACATTCACAAATATGTATGATATAAATATGACAACTAGCTTCATATGGCTCACTTCTCGGTATATTCTATTTCAAGACTCTACAAAATAAGCTGGCACTAAATCCTCTCCAGAAGTGATTTAGAGTACATTGGCATACAAAAGGGGTTAGTTTAGAGTGAAATTTTAAAATAAATTTAACAAAGTAATTACTTGTTTTAAACTTAGTTTATCAAACTCATGAGCATTAAAAACTTACCGCTTCTGTAGGAATGTTAACTTCATCAAATGTGAGCTAAAAGACATATTGGTGATAAGATCATTCTTAATTTTATATCTTGAACAAAAATAAAAAGTAAGGTAGCGGAGAACGTTAGTAAATTTCAACATATGAAAAAAAAAATCTTTAACAAACTATGAAAGGTATTGATCAAAAGCTCTCCTTTGTCAGATAAAAATCAGTCATCACATGGACTATGTGTTTGTTATATTATTTTTAGATAGTCTAACAAATGTAGCAATTGGCCTTAGTCGAAAAAAAAGTTAAAAAGTAACATTGTAACTACTAAGTACAAAAAAACCACATAATCCCTAAGAACTTACAGTCCCTGAGGTCCCGGGTTCGATCCCCGCCAAGTCACCAATGGATTTTATCCAAGTGATAATGCCGCAACCCCTAGGTCTAGCCTGAAGTAATGTGAAAAATAATCCCAGAAAATATACCTCATATTTAAGAAATGTTGAAGAAGTTGTTTAATATTTCCCAATTTAAATATTTCACAACGTTAGTGTAGGTGAGTAGTTGACTAGGTAGAGTATTTTCCTTCTACCTTAACATCAGGTTGTCGGTTCGATCCTAGGAGAGTTCAGTAGCTTATTGATATTAATTATAGGTTAATTGAGACGAGGACGCCACCTGGGTGCGTATTTTAACCAAAATATATGAATTTCATTGGAAATAGCATGAGATGATCCTTGCACATCTTCTCATTTTCTTTAAATATTTGTCAACCATTTTAAATGTAGGTTATTGTCGTGTGTTGTAACCGTTTTACTCATTTTTAAAGTTTGTTTAATGAACTCCACATGAGGGATTATTATCAAGACATTCTTGACCTGAAGATTTACTCCGTATTTAAAAGCACGACACAGATGTACGAGTCATCGAATTATTAAAAAGATCGTTTTGACAGCAAACCAGAAATCTTTATCTTTATTCAGGCTATCCAGAGGCCATTCCATCACGAAAGTAAGATCAGCTGTTTCAGTAGCCAGGATTATTTCTTTAAAGCCCAACGATCAGAGTAGCTGGGTCGAGTTTCAAACCATCGAAAAACTACTCACTTTACCCAGGACTTTCGGTTGTTATGCGAGCAACATAGCCGCTTAGCTGCCCAGCGTGAATTATTAGATTCACTCATGATAGTTTAGACACAGAACCAGATAGTATAATCTAATTAACCATTTCGACCTAAGTTTATGACTGACGGGATTATACTTCTAAAGAACGAGTATACCTTCAAAAACAAGAAATTGTCGTCCACTGATACTTCAATTAAAAGTAAGCCACAGGAAAACAATTTATTCAATTATCGCTAAAGCTGATAAGGAGAATTGTATTCTTATTTTAAACAAGGACAACTTATTAACATAGTCCAAGATTTTATGAACACTATTATTACCTAACATAGAAACTTTTAACACTCAAAGAACATTTCGTTCAGCATCAATATTCTATACGCAGATAAAATAAGGTAACTAATAAACAGGCACCTGTTTTATTAGGTGTGTCAAAGATGTATCATAAGATACGCCAATCAGGCGTTTGGCAATTTTGGATGGTTTTTAATAATTGGACAGAATCGCCAGGGCACTCAAAAAATTATACGAGATTGGCGCTAGTGTACGTAGTGGGTCTTGGTCTGAGTTGGTCACAGGGGGAAATTTGTTCAAACCACCCTGTGAGTAAGTATTTAAAGGAAATCGCAGTAAGAAAATTGGTTAATGATCACATCCAGGAGTCCTAATCTGGTAAATGAGCCTCTGCTGCGGGGATTGACGATTCTTGCATCCATGGGAGTGAAAGCGGTGCGCTTAACTTGCCCACGGCTCTCAAGTCAGACTTTTCTCTCTTAACAATAGTTTTAAAGCTAATCGAGACCTCCGTAGTTTCATTCCCAGTACATTGGTGCCTCCATATTTGAATCGAGCAAATTTCAACAAAGATGGACTTTTTATCAATTAGAACTCGGTAGCCCCGTGTGAAGTGTGTGGAAGGAAGCAGCGACAGTTCGTGCGATAGGTGATGGGGGAGCGCTGGACTGAAACGAGCGTATTTCTGAGCAACCCAGCGCGCGATCAAGTTGTGGAGATGTAAAGTAATGATCCCCATCTGCCTACTACCAAGCATTTAGGGGGAGCGAGCTGGTCTAGTGGTTAGAGCGCGGGACTTCAGTCCCTGAGGTCCCGGGTTCGATCCCCGCCAAGTCACCAATGGATTTTATCCAAGTGATAATGCCGCAACCCCTAGGTCTAGCCTGAAGTAATGTGAAAAATAATCCCAGGCTCGTGCCTAGCGTCCTAGGACGAAAAAACTACCACGCATGGGGGAGCGAGCTGGTCTAGTGGGTAGAGCGCGGGACACCGGCTCCTGGGGTCCCGGTTCAAATCCCGCTAAATCACCAATGGATTTTATCTAAGGTGATTAAAGTGATAATGTCGTAACCCCTAGATTTAGCGTGAAGTAATGCGAAAAACATTCGTTCATTCGTTGTTTTCGTTGTTTGTAACCAATAAGTTTGCTAATTAATTTGTTTCGTTGAACCGAGAAATTAAATTAAATTAAAAGGTTCCTTTTTTTAACTACATTAACAAGTAACAAAATGATAAAAATACTATGTAAAGGAAATCCTTGGTAACAAAAGCTTAAATAGTTTGATATTAATAAACACATTTTAATATTGTGCCAGGAATTGTTTTCCAGACGGATTCAAGTTCATATGGAATAGTAACTTTCGTGTGTGCAAAACACGTAAGTCTGTACAAAACTCACCCTTATGTTACCCCTAAGCGAACATAGGTAACAGGTTCATGCTGTTTACTATGAACTAAATTGATGATTGTGTTGTTAATTATAAATCGAATGAATACACAGAAGTCACATAGCCTAATATTGGAAAATTGCCTTACCTTTGGATCTGGATCCCATATTAGGTTACTCTGGAAAAATAACTGTTTTAGATTTCAAAGTAAAATAAACTTGATCAGTAAAAAACTAAATTGTTTAATCTTAGTCTACATGTTATTCAATAGATTCACTGTAAAATTAGTAAAGTTTATAAACGTGTTACTTCGATTTCAGAATCGGCACCTAGAAAATCCCTTATACTTAGTGTATAAAAACTAATAGTTAAAAGTATAATGAATTAATTTTGGAATAAATACTAATTAATATAGATTTCGATTTATGTTTTAGCTAGACTTTTAACATAACTAACACTTCTAACACGTATTAAAAATCAAAGTTAAGTATTTTAAAATCTAACTTAATCAAAGTGGCATAGTCTGAAGTCTCAACACATACTTCTGTTCTTGCTAAAAGGTAGACAGACTGCAGGCACTTTTCTAGAAGAATCAAGAAACGGCATTTTATGTTTGAAAATGGCAACAAGACTGGAACGCACCCAGTATTGTTGGTTTGAATTTACTACAAGCAAAGTCAATGATACAAGACTGGGACAGTGCTGGGACGCATCGTGGAAGCGAGCAATTTTCTTTAAAAAGAAGAGCTAAATTTTCTTTTAAAAGACGACCAACTTGCAAATCGGGTTTTCCAGTTCAAACATCTTAACGTCCCTTTACATTTACAAAACCTTGTCATTCCAAAAAAAAAAAAAAAAAAAAAAAAATCGACAAGTTCAATATTTTCCATAACCATTACAGTATTACAATTAAAGAACTTCTAATAATCTCCCTGTCCCTGTCCACTATACAACCTTTTTCAAAAAAAAAGATCTCCGTTACAATGCAGTAAGTATCTTTCACAACCTTCCAACGCATCTAAAGACAGAGTCAGGCCATCTGACATGCATAAGGAAGTTAAAATTGATTCTATTAAATAAATGCTACTACAGCATCCGTGACTTCCTGACTGACGGCTAGATTCTTAATTATCATTGGAAACAAAATGATTTGTAAAGATTATGTTTTATTATTGTAATATAAATGTAATTGTATTTTATACTATTTTGATGTAACCAATACATGTAAATATGTCTAGAATTGGCTAAATAGTAGTTAAAATGGTTCAATATAAGTTAAAATGATTTATATTAAATAAATGCTACTACAGCATCCGTGACTTCCTGACTGACGGCTAGATTCTTAATTATCATTGGAAACAAAATGATTTGTAAAGATTATGTTTTATTATTGTAATACAAATGTAATTGTATTTTATACTATTTTGATGTAACCAATACATGTAAATATGTCTAGAATTGGTTAAATAGAAGTTAAAATGGTTCAATAGAAGTTAAAATGATTTATATTAAATAAATGCTACTACAGCATCCGTGACTTCCTGACTGACGGCTAGATTCTTAATTATCATTGGAAACAAATTGATTTTTAAAGATTATGTTTTATTATTGTAATATAAATGTCGTTGCATTTTATACTATTTTGACGTAACCAATTCATGTAAACATGACTAGAATTGGTCCAATAAACGAGTTATTCAGTCAAAGCATTGAGTAACTTTGGTTTTAATTGTCTAGGTGGCTGAAACGCACCTATTATTTTGTGTGTATTTCGAACGAATGCTTCTTGACCTTATTCCTCAGCATAATTTTAGGATGCATAGCCTAAGTCCTGTGCTTATTAAATAAAATCCAGAGATAGTAAAATTTCTGCTTGAATGTTAATCGACCTAATTGGTAAAGGGGGATTTATCTTAAGGAGCTTTTTAAAGAATACTAATTGAGGTTTCAATCTAATTTGCGAAAATATATGGCAAATTGATGTGCTTCAGATTTTGTATTACTACGTAACATCATAAATTAAAGAGTAGACCAGTACTATGAATATATTGTCTACTCGCATCTTAATTTATTTAAACACGCTTATTGTGGTTCATATCACTATATATTTAAAAAAAAAATTAGATAAGACGAAAAACTAGGCTTACCCCACTGTCTGATTCAATCATAACACCAATCCAATTTAGTTGGTATTTCTGTACCAACTTTTTTGAGAAACCTTTTTCGGAGACGGTTAAGAAAACGCCATTTCGAATATTTTCTTTTGCGAACTTAGCTGCAGCTACCATCTGGACAATTCATAAAACATTTTTAGTTATTAAGTACTGAATTTAGGCTTTTAGTTTTCAAAATAGAACCATATTTTTAGTTAGTGTGCTTTAAAGTATAAATTAATTATCTGCACTAATAATACAAACCGTAGCAATCTTTGAGGGCCTCGATATTTACAATGGATAACGAAGTCACTTCAGAAAGATACCAAAAGGTACCTCATCGATGGGACATAGTTCGACGTTACAAAGATATCTGAATTTTCCTTCACTAGTTAAGTGAATTCTATTAGGGGTTTTTATACAATGAATGCAGGATACTGGAAAAGGTTGTAACTAATATTAAGGAACATAACAGGGTAAATATACAGCGTGTTTAGTAAAGACGGGGACATAACTTACGTAGTGATTCCTTGGGTCAACAGAAAAATAAAATCAAGCATAACATTTTTTTCCGAAATTGCTTCGTTAACCAGATATCCACCATTTTTTTATTTTATACTTAAACATTTTTATCTTTGAATTTTTAAAACGATCTTTATGAAACTTGGTATGTATGTTAAGGTAAAAGATGTTCTTTGGTCCAGGATCAGTTCTAGAACATTAAATAGTATAAAATTACCTGATTCCGGCTGTGATCCTAATTTTTTTGTAGTGAATTATCTTGATTGAACTCAAGTAAACTGTATAGGAGAAAGCGGCACCAATCGGGACGGGGAGCATTTTACATGGGGAGCTTTTTATTCACTTTTTAAAACCCCGGCTTTTGGCCTAAATATCCCTATAAAAATGTCCTAAAATACTGTGCATCTCCATAAATATTTCCATAAATATATATTTCAAAATTTACTGTCGATTGTTGAACAAACATAAAAAGTCTTACGAAAAAATGTTCACAAACAAAATTAGAAGCACTAATTTCTACACTTTTTTCCCCAATTAAAGTTTTTATCTGACCAATAAAAAATCATATATATATATATATATATATGTATGTGTGTGTGTATAAGACACAAACACAAGACCTCACTCATAACAATGCAGATCAGACCATATTACAACGATGCTTTGCTTCTTTTTCTAAGAAATGTAACTTAATTGGACACTACACATTGGTACATCAAATGAGGGTTAAAATATGTAAAGTATGTGATTTAATCTGTGATAGTAACATTTTTCTTAAATCTCACATCTTATAAACTCACAAGACTTCTCTAATCTTTGTAAAAGAAATGCTGTTGATCATTTTAGAAGACACATCGATTCTTGGAAAAATGTCCATATTTAATGATTAAATTTGTTGGTAAATCGATTCAATCTTAACTTAAAAACACTCTTCAAACTTGTCCTCAGCCAATAAAATTGAATTTAGTAAGAAAAATAACATTCTTAAATACATAATAGATCAAAATTGAAAATTGATAAAATACAAAAAATTTGTTGTAGATTGCAGTAGCATTATCACATTAAGGTTTGAGAAAATATATTTAAATAACTTCTTGATCGCCATTGAACGTTTCATTAAATTTACGGAAAATATATAAAAGAAACGGCTTATAACACTTAAAACATATATTTACGATTATACTGTAACTCACAAGACGGTAAGTATATATAAAAGATGGTAAGTGGTGATCGATTTCCATTGGACACTCCAGCAAACATCATCAGACCCAAAAGGTGAATATTCGTCGCCCAAGTATAAGACGTTTCTTTTCTTTACTTTCCATCAAATAGATTAAAAATCTTAAATTGAAAATTCTCTTCTAAAGATTGTCACGTCCATGCACATGCATCGAGCCCAAGGCAGTGGATGGGTATATGACAGCACCAAATATTGGCAGATTATATTGGCCCATATCTTACTCCAAAGTCATACATCCTCACATCAGAAAGTTTTAAATCTAAACAATATGCAGTTTTAAACATAAAACATATTGACAATAAATGCTTTCTTTCGTCGGCTTTAGCAGCTGTACCTTCTAGGAATTCTTCCCCTCCAATTATTTACCATATGACGGTCTGACAGATATAGATAAATTTGAAAGACAAAATAATATAAATGTAAACATTTTTGTGATTCAAGACAACAAATTTATATACAGGGTGTCCATAAAAAACGTTTCAAGACATTGGGAAATGAATCCTCATACTAAAAGGAAGAAAAAAGTTGACGTGAAGGTATGTCCGAAAATGCATATTTACCCAGTTATTTGACACCCTTTATCCAGAATAACCAAAACTAAATAGTAATACCGTACTTACAAAGATCTCCAAGGTCGTAAATCGCAATTATATTTAATTCGTGATTTTGGTAAGTTAATGATCTGCAAAATATGACCGAAAGAAGCATTTTTCCAAGTTCTGTATGTTTTACACTGAAGATAAATTAGAACGCCACACAACATATTGGAAAAGATTTGCCACCCAACGAGTGGAAATGTCTAAAAAGATGCATTGCAATTTACAAATTATAAATATAAACTTAAAGCCCTATTTGCGATTTATGTACATTTTGATTGCTTTATAAACCCTAACAACATACTCTATCTGGATTTGATTTAGTTGCAGAGAGATTCTAAATTTATTTCCGAAAATCTATACAGTGATGCAAATGATTCGATAGCTATACATCGATCATAACTAATCAAAAAGGCCTATCAAAACTCAAAGTTAGTTGGAAATGTCACATACTTTAAAAACGTTTTAATTATAAGCAGATAACTTACCTTGGAAGTTTCAAGTTCCGAGTATTTCACGTTAATCGCAAGTACTTTTCCTGGGTATTTGCTATGCCTAGATTCAAACTCTTCCTAAAACACAAATATAAATGTCAAATTCACAGATTGCCAATTTAACCTTTTCGCAAGACAGTTTTACTAATGATTTTATCAGAATCCATACTCCACTATTAGGTCACAAATCCAGAATGTGTTTTTCTCAATCAGTGTATTTGGATGATAGAAGGTTCTGATACTTTAAACTAAAGTAAACATTACGCCGCTGTTGTTTCGTTCCATCATAGGCAATATTTTTGGGTCCAAAATAATAATGTTGTTACGCAACGACTACCATTTACAATGCAATAATATGAGTAGCACTTAACCTTAATATTTTGCCTATTGTTGACTTTTTGTTACTATTTTAGGTTTAAGACATGCATAACGGTGCATTTCGTTTAAGGTGATTTTTAATAGACGTCAAGGTGGCTTAATGTTGTACATTATAGACCTTAGTTCACACAGGCATTAATGTTACAACAAGATAACTATGTGTGAGCGAAACTGTTGTAATATATTCGTACCTCAACACCATCCGATCATGAGCGCGCCTAAAAATTCATATTCATGTCTATTAAGAAAACCGAATCGTTATGAAATAAGTTTCATAATTACTAGAGCTCGCCCGTGGTAAAAAAAAAAAACTCGACCAAAACTATGTATGTACTGTGCAAGCTTCTCTATTTTCACTCCACGCTGTAAATTAAACGTGTGATTGGAATTTCTCCCATTTGTTTTGATTTTCTGTTTATATTTTGGTGTTATTTCGTCACTAGCATGACAACCCATAAGGCCCATGTATTTTAAATTTAAAATTCATTTGTGTGCTTATTTTTAAGCCTATTTTAATTTATAAAGGGATTTTGTACATCTACAGCTTCAGGCAAATATCTTTCTAACAGTATGCGTAGATTTTCCATGCGATGCACAGGAGTTGAGAAAAAAGGTTTTCAACAAACAGGTTTGTCTATTAATATATAAAATTAGCCCCATGTAAAATCACCATAAAAAAGTCGAATTTCCATTTTTGACCCAATTAACATAAATATTCTCAAAATACAAATAAAGCATGCACATATAAGACCGATAATCTTTCTTTTAGTTCAACCGCGTGTAAATCGGGCCAGTAGTATGGTCAGAGTGGCTGTCGTGAGCTTAAAAATTTGGATCCATGTTAAATCTATATAAGAAAATTTTAATTTCGATTGTTGACCCAATTAACATAAATATTTTCAAAATACAATTAAAACCTGCACCCATAGGACCGATAACCCTTCTTTTGGCACAACTCGCAATGGTCAGGCTAGCTGTCATAAGTTTTGCAACGTTTTTTTAAATATATAAGACTAGCTGTACCCGCGGGCTTTGCCCCGTTTAACTTCACAAGTGAGCTCGTTCGCATGGCTCAATCACGTCCTGGTTGAAGTTCGTTCGCTACGCTCACTCACCTTTTGGTTGCAAATTGGCTGTAGTCATAAATTAAAAAAAATAATAGTGCTGCACTCTGTTGGTAATCCTTGTAATTTAATGCTATTGAACATCATAGAACAGAACCAACTTGTTTAATTAAAACAGCTGTTAAGAAATTCCTTTTAAATATGAAAAACCATAAGGTTAACATGGGAAACACCAGAGCCACTGGGGCGGAGCCCGATAGCCCGATGAGAATAAAACTACTTAGTTTTCCTATGAATCGGTGTACCGAATTTCAGCCTCCTAGGTAAATGGGAAGTGGGAGAATTAGTGATGAGTGAGTGAGTGAGTCAGTCAGTCAGTCAGTGAGGGCTTTGCCTTTTATATAATTAGATATCAAACACCAAAAGTCAACATATGCAAACAGCTGATATAAATCTGTTTAAACCCGTTCCACAGTTAGTTACATTTTACACACTTATCATTGATCAAAAGAACAAAAGTAAACTGCCTGCAACCTTTGACTATTATAATTCTCAATTTGAGTTTTGAATTATTATACTAATTGCGTATATTAATTGTCAGTGGTACAACTTAGATATTTGATATTCTTTTTGGTTCAATTTAAGCTGTTGTAATCAAGCACAAACAATTTTAGTATTTTACAATGGTATTAAATTATTTTGGGATTTTCACTATTTAAAGTCAGCGAAAAAATAAAATAAGTAGCAGCAAAGACCAACCAAGAAAAGTAGACTTCTCATCCCATTGTAAAATTTAAAGTCGTTTTCGTGTATAGTTCATGTTGGTGACACTGATCGCTAGTGTCAATGAAATTTTGTTTTAATTATTTTAGGGACAATTTAATGATTTATACTTTACGGTTTCGTTATATAACTAGGGGACAAGTTATTGTTTATGATTAGATCGTTTTAGCGAATTTCCCTATAGGGAAGTAACTATTACCGTAGGTCTCATGGTAAGACCTAAGCCCGGGACCGATTTACTTTTTCATTTTGATCTCCCCAGAGGCCAAAAACACAATTCGTTCAAATTTTTAAATATCTATCTATATATATATATATATATTGGCCAATTTTGATAAAATTTGATTTGAAGGTGTAAGGCGGGATAAACTTGAATGAGTTCGCGAACCAGCATGATCGGACTATGGGAACGGGGGCTTATGGGGGGTTTTATGGGGTAAAAATAGGGTTTTCCCATTTTTTACCCTAAGAACTTGACAATTTAAGAACTTAAGAATTTGACAATTTCTTTTCAAACCATTTTGTAGAGCTTAAAAAAACAAATAATTTAGTATATTGAAGCGTTATTATGCGCCTAATTGTTACGGAGAAAATTCAAAAAAATGTCATTTTAAAATTCCCATGTTATTCTTATGGAGAATAAGTCAACTGTTGTAGTTTGCTTGTTTATGAACATATTTTGATCAAATTTGGAAAATACATTAATTTCTTACTAAATTAATTTCTTTACCACAGCACCTTTTAACATTTTATATAAAAACAGATTTTTTACCCTCCCTGTTGCAGTATACCTAAGTACTCATTAAACTAATTCAGTTTAAATAGGGAATAAATGTGATATTTGTAAGGAGGCATTTTAGTTTAAATCCAATCAGGTACATGGAAATTTGCTAAGTCTGCAGGTTTGCTGCGGCGGGGGTATTATGTGTTAAATGAGGTTTTAAATAACTGAAATAACAACAAACCAAGCGTAAACATAAACCCGATCGTAGCGGCACCTAACGAAATTACAATATAATTGTATTCAGCTGATCCATAAGGATGACAAATATACTAAGGGAGTATGTTTAATTAAGGAAGTAGCTACCACTAGGCAAAACTTTTACATGTTAAAGAGTCGTAGCCTACTTCTTAATCTTGCCCAATTTCTCATTTAAAAATCACACAATCTTTTGATAAAAACCTATCACATAATTGTAAAAATATTATATTTAATCTTTTCAAATTGGCTAGTAGAAATACAGTTTATCTTTTAACTCTCTACCAACATTTTAAAATTTCGCTCACACATAGATCATGTTGCAACATTAATGCCTGTGTGAAGTACCTAAGGACTATAAATGTACAAATATATTATTATAATTGTATAATAGTTGTTTGTTGTAAGTAACATTACTGTAGTGATCCTGCTAACTACGTGGCTTAAAAATAATTCATCTTTCCTCAGAATCATGATTTTCTAATCTGAATAGGTTACAATATTGTTTTTTCGCAAACCTTTAGAATGTAATGATACAGCTATCTCAAATGTTCTATTGTCGAAGAGGTAACTGATACTCACGTCTGAATTCAAAACATCCATTTCCATCTGAAAATAAAGATAAATAAAATTACAAAGTATAACGTCTATCAACTTATCAGGCCAATTGCCACAGATGGTTACACAATGTTTACAGTAGACAGACACCAATTGGCACACCTTTTCTTCCACATCTTGAAAGTTATATATTCATTGGTATAGTAAATTAATTGGTCGCAAGAATTAAATGTTGACAACATTTTTTTATTGTTCTTTTCACCATCAAAACTTAATCTATTTTTTGATAAAAAAAATATAATTGTAGTTGGTCAATTTAAATTTAGTCGAGTTGGATAAACGTATAGGACCAAGCACACTTGAAACGTTGAAATCTAATAAAAATTCAATTTTGCTTCGACTTGATTTTCATCACCGTTAATGGTGTGACCCAACAGTATTAATGTAAAGTACATATTAGCAAACCGATACCCAACAGTTGGAAAATTCCTAGGAAACCAGAATAATTTTCGGTATAGTATATCTTGGTCGGATGATGAACAAGGGTTCAAAATACACTTTTGGTCATATTTTGTTAGTTTCATTGGACACAATATGCTACTCAACGATAACAACTACTGCTTGTCAGTGAAATACGAATAGCCGCCAACAATGCAACAATACACTACGATTGGTTACAGCAATCGCATGAAACGCGCACGTTTGCAATCCAAATTGTATATGATAAGAAAACGTGCAGCGGTGGTTCTATACTGAATATGATCTTTTAACCAGGGGCTAAAAATAACTACTATTTAGACCCGCTCTCTGCCCTAAACACGCGTATTGAAAACCTGGTTATGCTAATATGGCGAAAATAAATGGTGACATTGTTGTTCACAAATCAAGATGCATAGGGAATATGTATATTCGTGGACCAAAAACAATAGCTAAGGCCTTTGATTATTAGCTAGTGCTCACATACATAAAGCATTTCATGAGTCAACTTTTATTATAATACTGTATTACAATTTTGCCTGTCTCGGCGACATAAACAATTGCAAATAACAATATGAAAAGTAAGGAATACATTTACCGAAACTAAAGCAATATTAAATGTAAATAAAATAATAAAAAATTTTGCATGAAATTTGTTTCCGAACAAATACATGTAACAGGCATTTACGTATATGAACATTCGAGCTAAATAATTTGTTTGGATTTTAATGTTGAAAACAACAGAAGAAAATAACCATACAAAATATACTATTATCCTTTAGTGGAATCCACGGAATCCTAAGTAAATACTCATACAATATACAACTAATAAGTGGTATTTAGATTACAGTTAGTACAAAGTAAGTTGAGTAATCAAAGTATGAACCGAAAGGTGTGTGAAAACTGCAGAATATAAATACTTTACTCACCAACCAAGAAGTTTCTCCGCCGGTTTTTCCCTGAAACAGTTTTATTGCATCTTATTCTTTATTTCTTGATATTTATATTCTTCATCTTTATCGTATCTCTATTTTAAGCATGAAACCCAATTAGAGTAATTTATAATGTGTCATATGGAAATTTTGTATCATTTAAACTGAAATATTGTATACATTTGGGTTTTAGATTAAGCCATAGATTAAACTCTATGATTCAGCTAAAACTATCTCCGTGCATTTGTGGGCTGTGATACATTTCCTGGGTTAATATTAATAATGTATTTTACCACTAAAGTCACCATGAAGTTGGTGCAATTTTAATTTTAGGAAATGAAACGAGTAAATGCACAAAACAAAATCTCCAATACCCCTAAATCAGGTAAAATCGTGTTTTTATTCTAAAATCGTGAATTTCGCAGCAATCACTGTTTTGGGTTGCATACAAGTTTTACTGTGTATTGTGTAGGGTTGCATTTTTTTAGAAGATTCAGACAGTTATACATTGTGTTGAAGAAAGTTCAGTAGGCTGAGTGAAAAAACTATGCAGAGGTATGTTGAATAAAATAAGAAAGACACGCTTTTACTCACCTTCCAAACCTCTATCCATTCTGGGTCCTGAAAAAGATTGCCAAAGTTATTGGTGGTAAGTTATATATGTATGTATCGTTTATCAAAGGTAGATACCATCAAAATAGAATAGTTATACACGTTCATTTGAATAGTAGATAAGTAATTTAGTAAGTATTAGTAAGTAAGTATTAGTAAGTATTAGTAAGTAGTAAGTATTAGTTATCAGAAGAAGCTTCAACTTTGTCGTTACAAGTCCGCTCAATATGTTGCAAATTTTTCCTGTTGTATTTGTCTCCTTAATTATTAAGCTATGTTTTTATTTCATTGGTACACAAACGTCAGGGCTCATCTGAGTTAGACATTAAGCATTAGGCTAGATAGGGCGAACTATCTCTGGGTTAGTATGCCAGTTTCACTACCTCAAAAGTGACATTGGTTTGTAAGGTTACAATCTCCAAATCCAGACAGTGTTAGGCATAAAACAGTTTTGCCAACAGATGATGAATTATTATGTTTTTATTACTTTGAGTAACAATTTTTGTTTGTTTGTTCAGTTAGCACAAGCACAAATAGGTATAGTATATATATAACTATCTTTATATATTCAAATTCTCATATTTTCTATCCCAAGACCCAATAAAATTAGCTTGCATGAAATCCTCCCGAGAAGTGATTTATTGGCATTCAAAAGGGTCATGGTGGGTAAGCCTCTGGATCGTAAATTGCAATATAAAAATGGTTTTTTACCTTTTTGCGTCAAAAGATCCGTGTGTAGTCAGTGCAACTACAGCTGGTTGTGTCATGACTGCTGGCAACATTCACGCGACACACGACAGCAGTCATGACACAACATCCATCGGCGCCTGTCTCGTGTGTTCGTCACTTGGCCAAGTTCGTAAATTCGTGTTATTTAAATGTTTTTTGTGTATTTCGTGTATGTAGACATATTTATTTCGACAAGTTCATCTATGAATGAATGTTGTTTTATCTAACGTTCTACCAACATCCTGAAGATTACCCTAGTGGTATGAAACAGCTGTAGTTGCACTAACTACACACGGATCTTTTGACACAAAAAGGTAAAATAAACAATTTTTATATTCAAAAGAGTTTAGTTTAGAGTGCTTTATAAACTCATTACACGATTTAAAACTTAGTTTATCAAACTTATGAGTATTAACAACTTACGGTTTGTACTGGAAAGTCGACTTTTACCCACTGTAACTAAGAAAACAAATTGGTGATAAAATCATTTTTAATCATTTTATATCTTGTAAATTACAAAAATTAAAATTAAATGGCGGAAAACGTAAGTTAATTTCAACATAGAATATCATACATGTAAAATATGAAACAAGTGTTTTACAAATTATATTAGTTATTGATCTAAAGCCTTTCCATTGTCAGATCAAACTCATTTATCACTTAGGCTATGTTTTTAAATTTATAATTTTTAAGATAGCGTAACGCATTTCCCAGCATTTAAAATGAAAAAGTTTGGAAAAACTACCTTTTACTACTTAGTATTTAATGTTATATAATTTAACAAATGCCAGGAGTGGTGTTTGTTTTCTTACCCAAATGAACATATTGTAAAACAAAAATTAAAAGACAGGACTAATTGATAGTTTAATAGTCTTGGTTTACGAAATAGTTCAATATATCACAATTAAATGATTTTACCTACGACACTTTTTTTTTTTTTTTTACTAGCCGTTACAGTTTAGTTCCTTGAATTAAAAGGAGTCACTTAACAGCATTGCTTTTTTTGGTTTTACTTAACAACATGGGTAACGGACCATTGATATTCAAGACCTGTGAGAAAATAAGCAAAATTGTAATGCTTAAAACTTCAACCAATCAGCTGTTCAGGCCAACTTAATGGTTGTGTGGTGCAATTAGTCTTTAGTACACACTCTCGCATTTACTATAGACTTCACAGCTACTCGTGTTGTTCATTAAAAATCAATTAATACATAGAAATAGTTGAACAAAACTAAATATTATAAAATCTTCTTACCACCGCAGCCGTCTCCAGTACTAGAAACACCTGGAAAAATAACTGTTTTACATTTCAAAATTAAATTAACTTGATCTGTAAAAACTGTGTTTTCCAAATTTGTTATAATGCAATACTTTTTATACAAAATGAATAATGTTTTTAAGCCTGTTACTTGGATTTCGGATCGGATACACCCTTATGTTTTTGGTATATAAACTAAGTTCTGCATCAAAAATGAGTTTTAGGCCAGTTTTATAGCCAGGAAAAAAACTGTTTTCACCACAATACGCAAGCAAACTTTCGAAAATTTACCAAGGGCCTTTTGGGTTGTCAAGCTGCCATGACGATTTTGCAAGAATATACAACATCTTAACACACCTTTATATGGAGATGAAGTTATGAACAATTCAATCAAAACATTTAAACAACGAGTATATTACACTAACAATTTATAATCAATCAGATATTTTTCCAGCAGTGAAATTAATAAGAAAAAATTATTAATTTAACTCATACTTTTTTTAATAAGCAGTAGATTTAGGGTTTTTATTTTGGCTCTGCCATTATTATTTCATGTAAAATAAGGTATAAACAAAATTGTGTAATATTAAATATACTGCATTTTAATTATATTGGTATTTTACCGATCGTATTTCCCTTGGCCTACATAGACTTCTGTAGTTTGAGACGTTTTAATTTTCTTGGACCATAAACCTATACATTCCAATGAGTTAACTTGCGTTAGCTGAAACTCCATTTCAGGCCTGCAATAGCTATATTTTCTGTTTTATAACAGAACATCTTAAAATTGGCTGATTAATATTGCTTTGAGTATTTTCAGGGTTATTTTTATATACCTTCCTAAAAATATTCAGTGATAATTCAATTTAACATCTACAACAAACATCATGTTCCTTTGTAATACGATGTAAACTACAATAGACAGTAAAGCAATGTACTGTTTAATACATTACACCATACACAAACTAGTGAACAAACAGTGACGTTATAGCATTTTCTGTATTATAAAAACAAATATCACCCATCTTATGACACAACCACCTTTCACTTAAAGCGTTTTAAATGAAAAATATTTATTCAACCGATTTCCAGTTAGTCCAGATTCGTATGATTTTTTAGCTTGAATAACTAGATTAATATCCTTAAGTACGACTTTTATTAGTTCATAAATTAGCTCACGGTAATATAAATCCTGTACGACCTTCAACAATATTTGATCAAATTAAAGCACGAGGATATCCAACTTACCAGAACGGACATCCAAAGAACATGGTGGAAGGGCTCCATGTTGATAACAGTAAACTGTACTGACTTGCATGCTAATTTATACCTGCTAGAATTGACAGGTTTCAATATATCAAATGTGTAAATGACGTAAATGTAATAATTGATGAGTTCATCTGCTGTGGAGCACGTAAACAAGTAGGCAAGTGTGATATGGAAAATTTTTGTTGTTTAAGGAAACTTTTTGTGTTTTTGGGTGATATTTTGGTGGCAATCAAAATAAACCTAAATTATAAAAAAAATAATTTTGTTGGAATAAAAACCAGCAAAATCCACAGCAGCTTTTCAAAAAAAATTTATATTAAGTTGCTAAAATGTGTGATCTGAAAAATAATAAAAGAACTAATACCGATATGATATGGAAACACTTAACTGTTTAAGTGTATTATTTTGTATTGTAATACACAATCAAAGATTTTCCCAATGATTGAAAACATGTATGACAATAATCTCATGAACCTATGATGATCTGTCAAGAATAATATTACAAAATATAGCCAAAAGTGGTGAACAAGGCAGACACCAACCCGTACAATAGATATAAGATAGTTCAATAAGAAAAATTTGTAAGAGCTACTGTGATTAAAGGATTTTCTACTGATTTCGTAATGGAACGTTATATTGCAAAACACGACATGATACAGAAGAAAATCAATTTTAAAATCAGAAAATAACATTGCAAATACTTCTTTTGGACAATTTAGTAACTCCCAATAAATGTGCGTTGTTCAAAATACAATTAAAAAATTAACAGCTGTTTCATTAAAAGTATTATCCACATGGTCAAAATGTAAACAAATCTGTGGAGGGATCTTTAAAGGCTTCTGGGGCAGAGCCCTAAGGGAATTTACTTAGTTTTTCTTTGGATAACTCATCTAAAGACCAAGATATTTCTTTGGACACCTCAACCAAGCTTCTACGCCCAGCCGTTCTCTCAAATTAGTGGAGACAAAGTTTCCAAATAAATATTCAGATTCCCCCATGTTAATCTTAAGGGAGAAAACCCAACTTTGATGGAAGATCCTGCCCAAACTAATAAAGATTTCAAAAAAATTAAAAACATTTTGCAAAACTACAGATCAGAGCCATTTTTTGACACTTTAATCATTAACATACATTTAACGTACATTTATTTGGGTTTGTAGTTAGCTGCATGGTTTTGTCTGCATGGTGTGCTTTGTTAAGATGCAAACCGTTTTTTCTGTACATTTTTCTTTTTCAAAGAATCAGATTCTTGAGCTACCTGACATTCGAGCAAATGTGAGTATAAGCCAATTTTGCGTGCTGTGTTTGCTTGGTTTTTCTTAGGTTAAGTTTTGCATAATGATTGTATATATTGACAAGTGTATTTTTTTGACGATGCCCATTGCATTTTGTACAATGCTTAAAGTAAATCAGTTCTTTTGTAGTTATGGTTTTACATGCATTTTTTTTGCAACTTTGGTATTATTGTTGTGTTAGGCAAAGTGGCACTTTGCTGCACACGAGAGCAATGCGGAATGATCTCGAGTGCAGCAAAGGCCTTTTTCACTCGTGTTACACATTATATTTTTCCTACCGTCACTATAAAGCATATAAATAATTAGTTATTCAAACACTATACAACACGTTTTCAGGTTCAGCTGGCAACACAAATGGTGCCCTAGAGAAAGTAGTACCCGCGGTCCGTATCACTCCGCTATTTTTCCTCGGCAAGAAATGTGCTCCGCGTTTTGAGAATATAGTTCCGTATGTTTTTGTAATTTGAAGTGGTTTTTCGCGCAAAAAAAAAAATGCTTTAAAGGTATTTTCTTGTTTATTAAGATCGTAGGAATGTTTTAAAACGTTTAAAAGAAAAGTCCAGAAAGTTCAGAAATACCGAAACTATAAACACGAAATGACAGGTTAAATCGTAGTTATGATCAGCTGCTCATAGTAGTATTATCTTTAAGTGTTGCCAACCTATTTCCAAGCGTATTCGGATTACGTGCATAATAGAACCACGCTGTTTTGTGTTGTTTCGTTGGAATCCTGATGTGCGACAAAGTATAAACCGTACGGCAAAGTATTATATTATATTATTATATTATTATATTATTATATTATTATATTATTATATTATTATATTATAGTATATTATATTATATTATTTTATATTATATTATATTATATTATATTATATTATATTATATTATATTATATTATATTATATTATATTATATTATATTATATTATATTATATTATATTATATTATATTATATTTAATTTAATTTTATTTTATTTTATTATATTTTATTATATTATAATATATCCTACTAACATTATAAAAGAGAATGTTTAGATGTAAGGATGACAAGTTAACGCGAAAAATACTGGTCGGATTGGGCTGAAATTTGGTACGATGATAGCTCACATTCCCGATTAACATATAGACGCAATCTTATCTCAAAAGTCCTTTCGGGCTCCGCCCCAGTGGCTCTGGAGTTTTCCATGTTAACCTTATGAGTAATCATATTTAAAAGGAATAAAAGAATTTTGTCAGCTGTTTCAACTATCCAAGTTGGTTCTATGATATTGAATAGCATTAAAAAGTTACAAGGTTTACCAACAGGATGCAGTACTATTATTTTTTTACATTTATGACTACATCTATTATATCCTATAAAGGAAATAAATTTAAATTTTAAATTTAAATTAAATTTTGTTTTTAAAAGGCGTATGTGTAACTATTTTATCAACAAATGTAAAGATCAAAATGTTTCTATTTCGTGTTATCTTTCCGTTGCAAAGCACGGGTACAACAGCTAGTTATTTATATATTAATATATTATTTTGTCAAACTACATTATTATTTTGTCCGAGCGTTGCGCTGATCAGCAAAAACATGCGTTCACGTAGAAGCATCCTTATATATAATTCTGTAAATATGAATAATAAATTAATATCGGTAAGCTTGATTGCCGAGCAGAACATGTGGTGTGACTCTTAAATAAATTTCCCGTGTGAATTGCTCTTCGGGTTTTAACAACTTTTGTTTTAGAGGCTGAAAAAATCATGTTTTAAGCCAGTATATTTATGGAGTTTGACAAAATAATAACGATTAAAATTTAAAAAGTAGATAGCAAATCATATCCGCTGTTTCAATAGCTTTAAAATGATTCATTTTTGAACTTTTTTATCTTAATAAACAATATACCGTAATATTCTTCATCCAATGATATTGCCGTTATGGGCAGGGAATCCAAGATGGCCGGCGGTTCAACCGACTCTTACCAGATTCGTTGTACTAACCTACATTGTAACATTGTACATTTGTACATTTGTACATTGTAACATGTTGTACTAACCTACTCATTTATGGCCCTATGATTATCATAAATGTCTTAAACTTACCACCAAATGTTTTAAAACATTTTCTGATTTTATCATATTATAACAATCATAAACAAAACATTTGATTACGATCTAATGTTCAGGCACAATTTCATTGGCAAATCAGCAGACGAATTTTTAAGTTAAAAATATAGCCTTAGTTCTTTCCACGTGATTAATTAATCCATTAAACATTACTTTACTTTAATGAAGTATGTAGTTTTTAAAGTTACTGACTGTAGGCTTCTAGTCGAGTACGATATCAACAGTTACAACAAGCTGGTTAATTGCAAACACTTGCACGTCAATTAAATAGTGCGAGCTGTTGGCGCGAGACGAATCCCTACGAACTGGAATCGAGTAGTCAACTGAAACTGAATATAATCTAGAACAGCTAGTTTACACGAATAAGAACAAATTAGTTTTAACAGTTTTAATAGGGAATTACACACACTGGTTTTGAGTACAGTAGCCATACACCACCTTCCATTGCATACTATACCTTATCTTACCTACGTTGCCACTGAAACATTAAGATGATTCTGTCTCCTATTCTTTTACACCCATTGTCCTAATGTAGATCCCAGTAGTTGAAGATGTCTTCCATTATTTGGTCTTTCCACTTCATTGTAGGTCATCTACCTTGTGGTACTCCTTACAACACACTAAAGTTTATGTATCTTCTCTCCACCACGCATAGCCTTTTACTATTCGAGCCTCTTACTTTCCAACACCGCTAAAAATTGTTTTACATTACATTTGTATACACTTGTAAGACTTGTTATGTTGTTACCAGAGGCTGAAAATGAGTTTTGATGTAAACTCGAAATATACCTCCACATTTTTTAATAAATTGTGTATAATTTTATTTATGTGATGAGTAGCCGACAAACCAATATTAACATTTGTATACACTTTTCTTAGCTCCCTGTTCTTTTGTATCTCAACCTTCCTTATCTTGAATTGGTCCGTATTTTTCTCTGCCCTCTATTCTCAAACCTAGCAATAAGGTTTTTCGAGCAAAGCCTGTCGATTCTCTTGTACTTGCTTGTTCTTTGCTGCAACTGGTGTTCCTCTGTTGTGCAATTGTTTAATGATATAAAATAAGAATTTTTTGAAGCTTTGTTGTAAAGAAACAAAGAACCCAACATGACTAACCTCATGTGGCTGATGACTCATTACAACTGTTGAAAAAAAACATATATTTTTATTATTTGTGAGGATTACCTTGGATCAAGATGAACTAAAACTGTCCAACATTACTTTTTTTACAAGCACATCACGTTCAATGTTCAATATTACACTAGTAATCATGTTGAGATAAATAAATTAATCCAATAAAACACTTTTGCTTGCCAAGATATTTTGCTGACTAGCAGATTCGTTTATATTGACAATGGTGATGGGGAATAAGACGTGGTGCTGGGGAAATAATTTTAGTACAAAAATTGCCCATAGTACATAGCCAAGTCGCTACGCTAGTGGTTAGAAGCCAGTGTTTCAAACCAAAGAAATATGGTCATTAAAGTTTTAAGAAGCGGAAATCAATAACTTTCGATAAGTTGTAGACTTTAACTTTTCTAAAACGTTTGTAATACTTTTACACACACATTTGACGACTCAACGATCAACCTTCAGTTTTATGAAATGGCCAAACGTTAGATTATTTAACACT